CTTAATCAGTTCCCAAGAATAATTAGACATTCACACACACACGAAGAGAAACTTACAGCAAAATTAACAGGATTTGTTAATTGTTTTTACTTATTTTATAGATTTCTCAGAAAATTTATACTGAGTATTTCTCTAATTCAAAAAACAACAACAAAATCTTTAAAAAGAAAGTTTACTGATATATTCCCTAGGATCTTTTATCATAAATAAATCATTTAAAATTCATGAATATATTCCCTAAGATCTAAATGATCATTTCAAATTATATATTCTCTAAGATCTAAATGATCACTTCAAATTGTATATTCCCTAAGATCTAAATGATCATTTCAAATTGTATATTCCCTAAGATCTAAATGATCATTTCAAATTATATATTCCCTAAGATCTAAATGATCATTTCAAATTTATGAATATATTCCCTAAGATCTTTTATTATAAATGATCATTTAAAATTTGTAAATATATTTCTTAAGACCTTTTATCACAAATGATCATTCTAACTTTTTCCCAAAATGCGTATACACTAATGTTGGCAAAATACAAAATCTGAGCAAAAGATTTTCACAGAACGCAGAATCTCCTCTTATAAAGAACCAAAAAATAGACGTTAGATTACATCCTAATTTTTTTTTTTTTTTTATTTCTCACAAATCTAGAAACTAATTATAGACGGACACTTTGTGTTGCCTGTATGTAACTTCAGATTATTCAAATATTTAAGAAGAATTGAATTACTTGCAGAAAGAAAAACATGAAAGCAGCAATATCAGAATCATAAATCAAGTTTAAACAAATGTGCTAACCAAGTTGCAAAATAGATTGCAATTTTTAATAACATTTCAGCTAAACATAAATCTCCACATTAATTTTCCAATGAAAAAGCTATTTTTCTTTGTAGAGTGAGTAGCCATGGTCAAATGCAAAACATTCTTCCTTTTCAAATCTCTATAATAATTCTTTTGCTTGGGCATACCAGGAGGTGATCTAAGCTTGGATGAGCAGGTGGTGATATGGATAACAGATGAGAATTGGAAATCAGAGAGCTGAGTTCAAATTCCGGTTGAGTTTCTTATATTCACTTATGTGCAAAAACCTTTGGGAAAGGTATGAAACCATCTCTTCTCCCCCATCCCCCCAGCTATCACTAAGTCATTAATTACTAAATCATTATCATTATCACTATAATAACTTTTTAATTTTTTTTTCTTTAATGTTTTTAATTTTCTTTAATTTTCATTTTATTATTATTATCATCACTAAATCATTATTATCTAAAAAAAAATTCTTACAATCTAAGAATACTTTCTGGCTCTAAATAACCTGCAAAAGATTGAGAAGCCATAAAAATTAAATCAATAAATAACAAATTATTTTATGAGACAGGTTAAAAATGTATTATTTGTATCTTCAAGACATGTTTCTGATATTAATATTTTGTCTAATTTTTGTATGAAAAAAAAAATGCACATAGTAGTGAATTATCGACTTTTCTAATGAGTAATAATATATTTGCTTTATCTGTTCACTGTTCTCTCAATAACACTCCTTGGAAATGTGGTCAGCTCTTTGTAACCTGCCAGAAAGTATCTGACTCCTTTTGAGTATTGCACCCATATCTGGCCTGGAGCTATATAATTCTCACTTTCCAGCCTTGATAGAACTCAAAATTACTTACAGTTTTGTAGGAGGATGACTTATTTTATATCCTATAGCTCACAGACATAACATTACACGCCTATCGCTATTTCCATGGTAAATGTTCATATGAGTTCCATTTCTTAGTTCCACCAGATCAGACCATCAGAGACAAAACCAGCCTTGTTATGTCTACAGGGTCAAATCACCCTCATTCCTTATGCATTCCATTGGTAAGAAGAATATTATCTGCCCAAAAGACACTACTTTATGGAACAGACTCCCATGTCAATGCTCCCCCAAATACTACAATCTTAACCTGTTCAAGTTTTGGAATAATCATTATCTAGCCTCTATATCCTCATAATATTCACTTCTTACTTCCTCCCCTAAAATTCACATTCAGTTATCCTCTACTTTGGCTGGCTCTCGAGCCTTGTATTGAGTAAATAATAAGTATAAAAATCTAAATGATGATATTAGAGTTTATATCAATAAGTAAACCAATCATGAGATAGAGAAAGCAAAGATTGCTATAAATAGGACTTATTCAAACTTTACTGTGAGGTAATCACAAGAGATTTTAGAAGTCCTACAAGGATTCATTGTTGGTGACCACAATCTTAAAAATTTAAGATATACAAATGACACAGTGTTAATAACAGACACAGGAAAGAAACTACAAGAATTCCTACAAAAGGTAATGAAGGAAAGCGAGAAGAAAAAACTAAAGATCAATTGTAAGAAAGAAGAATATACAATTGTCAGCAGGAGGAACAATCCATGATGTCAACTACAAATTATTGACACTAAAATCAACTAAGTGCAATAATTTAAATATCTGGGAAGTGTTTTAACAGAGGACAAAAAATGCAACACTAAAATCCAAAGGCACACTGTGATAGAAAAATATGCCTTCCAAAATCTAAGTATTAAGAAATAGAAAAGCTTCATGGGAAACAAAGAAAATAGTACTAAACAGTTATATAGTCCTCTTATATGCAGTGAATGATGGACAATTGCCTCATAGATGAAGAAGAGATGTCAGTCAATAGAAATGTTGTTATACAGGAGGATATTGAGAATCTTAGCAATTTAAGATATGCACATGACAGTTTTGATAGCAGACACAGAAAAGAAACTACAAAAACTCCTACAGAATGTAGAGAAGGAAAGAAAGGACTAAACATCAACTACAAGAAGACAGAATACATGTTTGTCAGAAAAAGGAACAACTTAACATGCAAACTACAAATTGGAGATACCACAATCAAACAAGAAGAAAAATCTAAATATCTAAGAAGTGTTTTAACAGTGGACAGAAAATGCAACATCAAAATCCAAAGGCACATTAGAATAGTGAAAATGTCTTGCAAAAGATAAACAAAGTATTAAGAAACAGGAAAAATTAATTAAATAAACAAATTAACCAACTAAGAATGCATAAAGAAACATAATAATAACAATCAACAACAAATTATGAAATAATTAATAAATGAGTAAAAAAGTTAGCAGACAATACTATAATATAGCTACAAAACTCAGTATCTATCTATATTTCTGAGATGAGGTATTATGTACACTATTTACATTATTCGGAATATTGTCCTCATCTTTGGTGCCATATTTATTACAGCGCTTCCACCCTTCAGTATCTGTCTATATTTCTGAGATGAGGTATTATATACACTATTTACATTATTCGGAATATTGTCCTCATCTGTGTCGCCATATTTATTACAACGTTTCAGCTTTTCAGTACCTGTCTATATTTCTGAGGTGAGGTATTATGTACACTATTTAAATTATTCGGACTATTGTCTTTATCTTTGTCTCCAAATTTATTACAATGTTTCGGCCGTTGTACGCTCCAGCCTTCTTCAGGTGGTTGGAATATCAAACTGAACCCTTTATTTTGCTAACTGGGGTAGACTGTTCTAGTTCCACATGCCATGTTTTAATGTCAGTTGTCAGTTATTTCCTGTTAATTCCCCTCTCCAAATTCACTTCTCAATACCTTAACCGGGTATTGAACTCACACTCTTTGGGTCCTGTCACTGAACTAACACCTTTATCCACTGTGCCATGTGTCCTTGAGCAACAAAACTGCATTCAGATACACAATTACTTTTAACCAATGGCCCCTAGAATAATTTGAAACATAATCATTACAGCCCACCCAATAAGCATTAGAATAATAAAATAGACCTACTCATAATGCACCCTTGATCAAAACATCAAGCCAAAACACAACACACATAGATTGTGTTTAAGCATGGAACAGACTGTCACCACTGGATGTTGACTACAATGTCCACTTTTAGATCTACATATGCTCTATCCTTGATGTTAAGCAATTTAACCCATTATAATATAGCATACCATAAAATTATATTTTTATCATATATACGATAGATACATGATAAAATAACTGGTATGAAATATCTGAAAAGGTATGTAAGATGAAATAAGATGGATGGTTAAAATTTATTTATATTTAAGTAAATGCTCTGTTTATAATAAACAATATTAACAACATTTACTGGCTTGAACGTCCTAGAAATTTCATAGAAAATATGTGGCCTCCAACATATTATTACAAATAGAGCATTTACTTAAAGTGTTATAGCACATCTGGCAATATGACAGTTCCATGTAGGATACAGGTTCGATTCCTGTCAGAGGATGCACATTTTCTATTAAATTTCTCGGATGTTCATGCCGGTAAATGTTGTTAATTATGTTTATTATAAACAGTGCATTTACTTAAATATTTGTGTATATATAAATAACATATAACAATAAAATATATTAAAATAGAGAAAAATGTTAAAAATAAATGTAAAAAGGGATTTTTTTACACAAAAATAAGAGAAAGTTATGGTAAGAAAAATAAATTATGAAAATATCAAGAAAATAATGAGCCAAAAAGGTACACTTGAGGGTCCAATTTGCACTAGAGCCAAAAAGGTACATTTTTAAGTCCACTTTATACAAGCAAAAATAGGGTAACTCATAGGTTCAGTTTATACTATAGTTAAAATGGTACACTTTTAAGATCAGTTAACATTAGAAAAACAAAAAGGTACATATGTAGACCTAGTTTACACTAGAGTCAAACAGGTATACCTATAGGTTCAGTTTACAGAAGAGTCAAAACTGAAGATTTATTCTGAAGTCTGGCCCATTTTTGTTGATAGGAAGAGTTTTACTTATCTGCTGAGGGTGTAGTCAGCATATTATAATCCCTGCCAACAAGATCAAAACAAGAGTGACATTTTGCCGACTCTTTACAAACTTGAATACAAAACAATAATGTATGCTTTGAAAATAGCTGAAGAAAAATGAATAAAGGCACTTACCTAAATCTTCAGAGTTCTTGCGTTTGGTTGAAGATTTGCTCTTTATTGATCCGCCAATTGGACCAAACGCAGACAGAACACGTTTACTGTTAGTCAAATACATGATGAAGAATTCTTCCAGCTTAGCAGCCATTTTTAATAAATCTGGGGTTGTTGATCGGGAAATCATCATATGGAATTTATCCCAGTCAAGCATTCCATGCACAAATAAGATTGCAGGTCTATAAAAGAAAAAGAAAAAAAAAAACACAATTCATACAAAAAGAATATTTGCAGATATTTTTCTTTCACAGTTTCCTACAAAATGCTTTAAGAAGCCAATCAATTAATCATGAATTTCTGATAACAAATGTATTAATGATACTATCAGAATTTATTAGTGTCATATAAGACATACCAAATTACATTTAATATTACAGTTTTATCAAGTTACATTAAACACAAGTACTAGTATGAGTACTTTTTTTTTTTCTTTTTTAAAGCAATTCATCCAAGCAAGACAGGAGTGCCACTAGCACGCAAGGGGTTACAGAGGACAGAGAACAAGAATAAAGAGATGTGTTTGAGGAAAGAATACAGAGGAGGACAGGGAACAAGATCAAGGTATCAGAAGATGTCGATTGACATTACACTTGAGTATTTGAAGATTATAGTTATCGAGTAAAGAAGCAAGAGTGAGGGAGTTCCACAGATGGGAAGTGCAAGAGAAGGAGCTGTTTGAGTAGAAGAGACAGTTACATTTAACCATTTTCACAGTGAAAGGGTGGGACTGAGATGCCAGCCTAGTAGCTCGCTTAAATTCATGCAGTCTGGGAACCAGTGAAAGTAGCTCGTCAGAACAGTTGCCGTGAAAATACTTGTAGAAGAGACAGAGGGAAGTCATGGCATGTCTGTGAGAAAGAGGCTGTAGATGAGATGCCAGATCAGGACCTATCGCATTGTAACATTAGGTTACCAGATAGCTCATCTTCACATATAAGAAGACTACACCTGTTTACATTTAATATTACAATATTGTGGACTTAGGCTAAATACAAACAGTGATAGTTTACAGCATTTGCATAAACATTAAGCTACCAAAGACTTTAACTTCACATATAAGACTCAGGGAAAGTTGACAAACATTACCAAAGAGATTAATTGATTCATTTATTATGGATTATCAGCCCTTTACAGGTTATTTAAAGCCAGAAAATATTTTTAGATTGTAGTAATTTTTCTGGGATAATAATGGTTTAGTGATATGAGTCTTACTAATTAATCCATAGCTGGGGAGAGAAGAGGTGGATTCATATCTTTCCCAAGGGTATTTGTGCATGTGAATATAACAAACTGGCTCTCTGATTAACAATTCTGAGCCATTATTGATTATATTACTCACATATCCAAGCTTACAGCAACTGGAATTCTCAAGTGCTACCAAAGAGACATGATAGGGTAGAGACATTGATCTTCTGAGAAGTGTTCAAATGAATTCAATTTGATCAATCAAACTAATTGTATCAGCACAAAGCAGATCCTGTTTTAGAAAATGGAAATGATACTCAGGATTTTGAGATCAAGATTGACTATCCCATTCAAAGACCTAATAGCCATAAACAAAACAAAAATCTATCAGATCATAAACCTCACCTGGGAACTGAGAAGACTAGATTATGAACATTAAGTTTGTTCTTATAATAACCAGTGTACTTAAAACTGTGACAATAGCACTGTAAACAGAAGGAATTAAGATATTCAAGGAAGGACTGAGTCTATAAAGATCTCAGCAATGTTAGAGTCTCTAAGGATGCTGAGAAAGGTGCTGGAGATTTGATAAGCCTAGCCTAGAAGAAAAATTGAATTCAAACCCAGACTACATCACGACAATTTGGATATTTTGCCAATGACATATTTATGTTAAGCATAAGGAGATAAGGAAATTGAACATTTTGAGATCAAGACTGACTTTCCCATTCAAACGTCCAATCGTCATAAACCAGAAAATATAAATTTGCCAGATCATAAACATGATTATACTAGCAGACCACAGGATGAAGTCAAAAGAAAGAAAAAATATGAAAAAATATCAGGACCTTATCTAAGAAGTGAGTAAACTAGATTATGAATGTTAGGGTTTGTTCTTCTAATAGTCAGTGTACTTGAAACTGTGACAATAACAATGTCGACTGAAAGAATTAATATATTCCAGGAAAGACAGAGTCTGTCATGATCACTGCAGTGTTAGAATCTCTGAGAATGCTGAAGAAGGTGTTGGAAATTTGATGACATATTGTCCCTTGATTCCCAGTCTAGGGAGAAGGAAAACTCTGAATTCAAACCAACCATGTTGGTATGGCTGCAGTAAATAGGGTTCTCTGATAACCCAAATGGATTGTGGGATGTGTGCAGATAATGCTGGTATAGATAATATATAATTTAATAAATATTCCTCTAGTATCTGATATTCTTATCTCAGACAAAACCACAATATCAATATTTTTTTTTGTTGTAACCTAGGAACGGTTACTGAATAGAATAATCACATAAAGGTTGGTAATGAACATGTAAGATTCACCAGTGGCATGTAAAAGTGGTAGTCAATTGCTAGAAGTGAGTCAAGTGAATTTCAAAATGAATCCCCAAATGCAGACCAACATACAGTATTTACTACTCTACTTATATGAATGGACACATACCCATTATCGTTTGTGGGTATGTTACAACATTTTTATTATGTCTTATTTTTTAATTTCATTTATTAATGTTACACACAATATATATATATATATATATATATATATATATATATATATATAAGGGAGCTGCAAAGATATGAATACAGTTAGTATTATACCAGTATCATAATAGAGTTTGTAAAATTCTTTTAGTTCATGAAAATCATTTTTAATATTTTTATTATAATACATTTATTATAATTTTTATTTTTTAGTAAATAATAATAATCAATATTTTTCAGGTAAAGAGGAGTTGGGGCAAAAACTTTAACATTTGAGTGGTTGATATGTTTGTATAATCAATACAATATGTTTTGTACACACCTTTTGTTTTGTTTTTTTTTAATGTATATCTACTTTTGCATCCTCCTCTATATGAGAATTTAGATGTTTTGCCAATTATATATATATATATATATATATATATATATGGGCTAAGTGTTAGAAGATAAGGAAATTGAACATTGAATAGGCTGTGTTAGAAGTACTTTTACCAAACATCACAAATTGTTACAAAAACAAAACATTAACCTGAAAACTCAAATCATCTTAATTAGCATTGTCAGACTGAAAAGTCATGCCAGGCGTCAAACCTATTTAGAAATATCTAAACTGTTAGTGGTATACAACTACTTTCTCAGATCAACAGATAAAAATGGCTTTGAGCAAGTGAAGCTTGTGAGTTTTGGCAAAGGCGACACTTCATTGAACCTTAAGGACTGGCACTACAGAATCATAAACAAAGAACTGCACCAAATAGCAGAATCCAAATAATTTGAGCACTTTCAACAGCAGTAACAACTGAAATGGATAGCATATCTAACTTGAAGAGAAAATAATGACATAATCAAAATTTTAACATTCCACACCACCTCAAATAAAAGGTTAGGAAGGAAGCTTCTACTAATACTGAAAAGAGTGATAACAGCTATTAGACTTGAGAAACCTATTATCCTGAAAAATTGTATAAAGATTTTATAAATTTTAGTCAAAAGCACTACTAGCTGCTTGGTCAATAAATGCCAAATGTTTTCTTATAAGTTGAACTTAACTGATAAGAACAATAAAATATTTTTTTTTCTCCTAGTTTCATTGCTGAATAATTTTGTAATAATATTAAACTTGATTCTTGGTTAAATTTAGAATTTAACATTTGTAACTTTTAATTTTAAATTTAACTGCAAAATTAAAACTTTATTTGTTATATTGATTCCTAATTTAATCTTAACTTTAATGCACTAATAGATTGAGGGTATACTGTCACATTATTTTGAATTACCATATACTTGTATTCTTATTGGTCATCATAGGTTACATAAGAATGTTTCCCCTTTTGAGTAGCTTTGGTTGGTTGTTGAACTTTCAAAAAACCCTGTATTTTGCAATCAACAATATTATTTGCTCTACTCAGTATTGAGCACTCTTTTTAAGAATAGTGTTTTTGGTTATCAGAATTTTATTCCATTTGTACCAACCCTGTACTTATATATATATATATATATATATAAGAAAAACCAAAACTGCATAGGTTGGAACCAACAGAATTCAATAAAAAAGTGAAACAAAAGACAGCAACAAGAAAAAAAAAATATATATATATATATATATATATATATATATATATATATATATATATATATATATATATATATATTACACTGAAATAACTTTAAAATAAACACCACTTTGACATGATCAGTTGAATAACCTTGCAGGATTTTTTTAATTTATTATTTAAATGCTAAACCTTTTTTTAAGACTAAATTCATTATGTCGTCAAGTAGCAAACACCATGTGTCTTCTAATTTCTTTCATCTTTTCCATAATCAAATTAGTCTGTTTCTTTAGTTTAAGAGGAAAGTTATAATCAATAATTTATGTGGGAAGGCTGTACAAAAAGCACAAATACTCTCTTTAAAACGTTTTGAATTAAGTACAACAGATTTCACTTTTGATTTGCTTATCTGTATTAGTGCAAAAAGCAATACAATTCTTATGCCAGGGAATTAGACGGGATATTGACTGACACAAAAATGCAATGACAGATCATTCCAGCAAGGCTTTATTAGCAAAATAGTCAAGTTTCTTCATACAATTTCTACTTTTAAACTTTACAATGTTAAGTTAAAGACTCTGTTAAAAGTCATCAACAAAATATATACATTTTACTTAAAATAATGACCTGGATACAGCATTTTACATTGAGTCTGTATATGTATTTTATTTCATATTTGTCTATATACTGAGATATCTGGAAGAGGCATGGCACATAGAACTAGAACACTCTGGTGGACAAAATAAAAGGTTCATTTCTAAATTCCAATCACCTGAAGAAGGCTGGAGCATACAATGACCAAAATGTTGTGAATATGGCAACAAAGATGAGGACAACAGTCCGAACAATGTAAATAGTGTAAATAATTTTATTTTATGTTTTATAGAAATTGACCATCACTTGCAAAATGGGTTGGGCTGATGGAGTTTATGATACATCAACACTCATTAGGGTATTTAATGTTGAAATCAGTCTTTGATTCTATGAGCATTTACTTGGTTTGCAAATAGGTCAATACTGGTTGTCCATGCCTGAGTCTGTAGGTCCATAACAGTTGTCCATATAAACATACTAGGCCCTCATTTTCATTCACCAAAATTAAAATATAAAAAAACAAATGCCACAACAATAAGTGGGGGACTAACCCAATTTTCAATATTTTTAGTGGTTCTATTCAGAGCTTTGCTTCCTCAGGCAGGCTGGGTGAGTATGTAAGTAGGTGACACTTAAGACAACTTCTTCTATATTGGATGAATAGTTCAGTTTTATCCTTCAACTTACTTTTCCTCCTCCCAACTCTCCATTCATATCAACATTACGACACGTGTGTGGCAAGAGAACTACCCAAGGAACAGTTTCTCCTCCATCGAGAACAGACAAAAAATGAACTCCTCAATCTTAACTTTGACTGTTAATATGTCTGGCTGTGTTTTCTCTTGACTCAATCACTTTCCTTTATTTATTTATTTGTTTGTTTGTTTGTTCCCTGTTGGTCAAGTGGATGCCACTTAGAAAACCCGGACATCACAGCCTTTATCCACCAACCATTAAAAACAAAACATTTGAGATCAAGATAAAATCAGATGGATATTTTCCCCCTATGTAGGTAATCCAATCATAGTGCCACACCTAAAGGAAATTATTTGTGTGGGTGACTATTAACAAATTATTAACAGGTGTGCCCCTTATGAAATAAATCCAATACACCATATTTCTCTTATTCTTTAGAAGGATGAAAGAAATTTCAATTTATGAGTATCAGTAACTTGAGACAGATAAAGAAACACAAGAGTTGCTCACTATCAATCCTCATTGGGGTGGTCTGTAGCAATCTACCCACTGAAAATGTTATGGGCATAGTGCCACAGGCATTTTTCAATGTGTAATCCATAGGTGATTAAAGAATATGGCTTTCTGTAAAATGCAGGTGGAAAGTTTTGTTTTTCTGGGATTGATGATGAAACTGCTCACAATATGAATCTTTTGAAATATTATCTGCATTGGTGAAGATATAAATTGAAAAAAAGATCAAATATCAAGTTCAGAGCTGACATAGCTAAGCTTCAGAATTAGCAAAGGCAGCACAGTTCTTTTTCTAGAAAAAAATTGATGCAATGTAAGAGGCCCTTTCTCCAAAGAAAATTGCTAAATTAAAAAATTTTTCTTGGCATTTTTATGATCATCATTTGCTCCATTTCTTGGGTATTAATTAGTCACTGCATTGTTTGCTAAAAGAAAAGAAATCTTGGATGTGGGGAGCAGATCAGGGTGGAAAGTAGATTTTGATTACATTTTACAAATTAAGTCTATATACTTCAGTTATCACTTTCAATACATGTCACAAAATATATCAGCTGAACACTTAGGATCCTTCTCCAAACAACACCTCTCCATTACACTTTCAAACACCTACATCTATCTTACATTCAGTTCCTCCTTAACATATGGAAATATAAATGGAAAACAAAAACTATTTTCACATTTTATTTTATATAAGGCTACGTAAAAACAGTATTCACAGAAACAGACATGCAAGATAATAAACAAAAGATCAGAGAAGGAATTCAATTTGGTTTCAGAAAAGGCAACATGGCCCCAAAAAATCGTAAGGCAATTGGAAAATTTGTTTGCTAAGCAAAACAATTCCTTTAACTTTATCAGTATGCACATTGTAGAAACTATTTTCCCTCAGATACTAATTTAGAAATCTTAAGGTTATATGGTCACCAAATTTATGCAACGTCAGGCATGATCAGTACCTAGATGTGAGACCACTTGGGAATATCATGTACTGCAAGTTTGGATGTGCAGGTGGTGAAATGAGTAGCAACTCTAAATTGGAAATCGGAGAGCAGAGTTCCAATTCCAGTCAGGTTCATTATATTCACTTACACGCAAATATCCTTCGGAAATTTATAAATCCACCTCTTCTCTAGCAATGAGTTAATTAGTAGGACTTGTATCAGTAAATCATTATCATATCAAAAAAACTCTTACAATTTAAAAATATTTTCTGGCTTTAAATAACCTGAAAAAGGTTGATAAATCATAAAAGCAAATCAATCAGAAATCTTAAATGTATTTTTCGGTTTAAGTTTCATTAATGATACAATCAAAATAAAAAAATAATTGTGTGTCAATGAACTTGAAAATTTCATAAATCAAGTTATACAATCATAAGATGACATTTTTACAAAATGTTTCAATTCTTTGTATACGTGTTTCTATTGCATTCAATCAAGAATAAAAAATATAAAATTAGCAAAGGTTATTGAGGGGTAATTAATGTAATTCCTTAAAACAAAAAAAAGTTTCCATTTGAAATACAAAGTGCAGGGGGGGCTTACCTCATTGTGGCCAATGGTATGTCAGGTTTCATGTCAGGCTCTAAAAGCCATTCATCTCTGAGGTGGAGATTGAGTTCACTCATTCGAGTCATAAGTACACTGGAACCCATGTAATCAAGACGAGCTTCTGCAGCAAAAAGGCTGACACCTGCCTGGTGATCAGGGGCTTTGCCTTGGTCAGGATCTTCTTGTACAGTAACTAGAAAGGAAAAAATAATCACAATATTATGACTTAGTAATAACGAGGCATGAGAATTCAGTATTCCTTTTGTAAAAATTTTTTTTTTAATCATTTCACTTCAAGCAAGGCAATAATGCCACTAAGACACAAGGAGTTACTGGGAGTGAAAGTGAATGTGAAAAATTTAGTAAGGAGAAGGGACAACAAAAAAACAATTTCAGGAAGACAGAAGATGGCAATTGACATTGCATTTAAACTTTTGAAGGTGGTAGGGAAGTAAGATACAGGGAGGAAGTTCTATAGATGAGAGGTGCAAGAAAAACTATTAGAATAGAACTTACAGTTACATTTAATTACTTTAAAGAATAAAATGATGAGACCTAACATCCAATCTAGTAGTACGTTTAAATTCATGTGGTTGAGGTACATAGGAGGAGAGCTCATTAGAACAACTGCCATGAAAATATTTACAGAAAAGAGAGAGAAGCCACATCAAGATGGTGCGAAAGTGATTGAATTCGAGATGTCAGGTCAGGACAGATAACATTGCAGACTCTTTCAAGATTTTATCAAGAATCTTGAGATATATAGCCAGAGAACCAGACCAGATATGAAAGCAATACTGAATGCATGAACAAATGATAAATTTATTAATGCACAAGATGGATTCTGACGAGAAAAAGTTATCTGGCACAACACTGTAAACCAACCTACCTGGTAGCAGACGAAGCACATAGCAACTGATTTAACACAGAGAGAGAGAGAGAGAGTGATAGATAGATATGGGCATGATAAAAAATATACATATACACACATATATTTGCACATACATATATATTTCTTTCTTAGGTGTTATAAAAACAGTGCTCCAAGTTATATAACAGAGCTATTAAGTATATATTAGTGAATACACATAATATCCAATGTCAATAGCATGACTTGGAGTTTCATGCAGACTTGCAATTGCAAGTATACATGATAATAATACTATATAATAAATGCAAATGTCAGTGTGTCACACATTTTCAACTTTACTCCTAGAGGCTGTAGTCCAACATATCATACCATTTTGGAATCAAGCTAATTCTGTGAGCAAATTAAAAACATTCTGGGCCTTATCCGAACCCGCAATTTTGAAATTTTGGATTCTCAAGTTTTCATTACTGCGATTGTTTTTGGATTCCACCATATTGGCTGCTACTGATAAAAACAAATAAAGGGACACAACACCCTAACTTTCAATAGCTCATGTTCAAATTACTGTTCTCAAATTACAGTGTTTCAAAATAAAATTGTCTTCTGTTTTTAACTTTACTCCTAAAAAGGTTGTAGTCCAAATATATCATATCATCTTGGAATCAGGCCAACTCCATGTGCCAATTAAAAATATTCTGGGCCAGATCGGGATATTTTTTATTCCCAAGTTTTTCATTACCATTTAACTTTTTTTTTTAATATTTTTCATAGGTGACTTTTTTGCTTCAAATTTTTTTATGTGATAACAACATTTTGTAACTTGGAAATAAATTTGGAAATAATCAAAATTAATTGTGAAATCCAGCAAAAGTCACCCATGAAATAAAAGTAATTATTTGTATAGAAAGTAAGGATCAACACACATCAAACTGTCTTGAAATTAAGTGGCAGCAGAAGAATTATTGTCTAACTTTTAAAAGGTAAGCTTAAATATTAATGCAATACTTAAATACAGTGATCAATTTTGAGTTCAGTTGCTTATTGCATCTACTCTTCCCTACCTATTGTGATGAAGGCTTAATAAAGAGCTCTCTGCAGAAGATAGCTTAAATGCCATCCAATAGGGAAGGCTTATAAATGTTTCCTAAAGATATTGTGAGGGACAATCATTGCTTAGAACTATGAATTATACAAAGATGTAGAGAGTCATGACTGCTCAAATCCTGAAGTGACATAGCAATAAATTTTCAAAAAAAAGATGTTTCCAAAAAATATAATGTTTCAAATTAAAAGATTTATTTTAAGCTTTGGAAATAAAAAAAAATGTAGAAAATATAAAATATTAAAGCCAATGGAAAGAAATTAAAAAAATTGACAAAAAATTCTTGTTTTCTGATTTTAAGGATCAATAAATTACTTACAAAAAACCACTAAAATTTACCTTGATAATTTAAAAAATCAATTTCAATAAATTTGATACTTAAAATATATGTATAAGATCCTGCAAATCAATCGTACCCCCAACAACACCTCCTTTAGACACAAGCATCGAGCTGCCCAATCCAGCTGAGACTTTCATATTTTTATGTCCAAAACTATCAATAGAGAGTCGACCTTGGCTTTTTATCTCTTTTGTTGTCCACCTAAAAGAAATAAAACACAAATATATGAAGCATTTTTGTTTATTTGCTATCTTTATAGTCATCGCAGCTCACAGAGGTATTAAAACTTTGTTTTTATCTGACATTTGGAGATGAATTGGGGCTAATAAACAGAGACAATTTTTTAAAACTATATCCATTTTATCTCCTGTATTTTTTCTTCAATGTTTCAAATGTTGTTAATTCTCCATTCTCCAATAGTTTTCGGTTTTGGTCGGTTCCATAAAAAAAAACAAAAAAAAAAACAAAGTAAACAACACACCTCATCTGCAATACCCCACAATACAATTCAGTTAGTATAAGAGAGTGCTGAAAAGTTTTTGGCCAAACAAAAAAAAGGATTCAAATGATTCTGATGTTTTATCATTTGATCAGATTTTGTGAAGGAGACCAGACCGAGAACTTTTCAATACCATCTTGAAGATCTCTAACAGAGACTACAGTAAATAATAATATCAGCATATATATTTTAATCTGGGGATCATATTTACTTAAAGGTGTTTTTTTTGTCAAAATGCCATGCTATTCCTAAGCATCAGCTATATTTTTACTTTCCAAAAATAATTTTTCTTCTTCAGTGCCATTTATTGATATAATCTTTTGATTTTTCAGTCTACAAAAAACAAATATATAAGACTGAGTTTACACCTGCAATAAAATGGCCACCAACATTGAACTAAGACAAAAAAATAAATAAAATAGTATAAAAAAAAGTGTGTGCATGAAAAGTGATTTTCCCACCTCCTAGATAATGTTTTATACTATTTTCATCTTTATTTATTATTTCAGTTTAAAGATGCAGTTCTTTTTCGTAGTTCCTTAATTCTGTTAACTCTAGTTTAAATCTGAAATTGCCCAGCATCAATTACAGAAACAAGTTAATTTTTCACATTCTGAACAAATTGTTAGAAGTTCTTATGGAAAAGGGTGGGACAGGATAATTCTATAATCTGTTAGCCAAAGGTGAAAAGGTCATTCCTTGGAAAGATTAGCATTAACAATGTCCATAAGAGTTTTCTGAAAGGTAAAAGAGCATAAATAACACTATCATTTTTTTTATTCTAAATTGTCTCTTGGTTTATAAACTTTTTATTCTAAGATATATCTTTTTTAGGCCAAACTTTTAATTCTAAATATCTTTGGTTTTTCATTTATGTATTCATTTCTTATAGACTGAAAAATCAAAAGATTATGCTATTCATACTCATTTGTCGCTTACATATTTTCCACAGTTGTCACTGATGACCTGTCTATATTCTGGTTTATCATGACATGAAAAAATAACTCACCCACCTTCACCCTCTGAGCTTACTTTTTTATTCAAATACAGATCTACATTTAAAGTGATTAATCAATTTATACCCACAAGTCTATTTTTAATTCTGACCTTATGTTTCCTCCACCAATTAACTTTCAAAAAAAGATATAACACTTTGTTTATAAAAATCAAAGAGAAATTTCATTTAATCACCAGTTACTTACCATCTTCTTAAGAAATAGCAATGATAGTATTGAAATATAAATTTAAATTTGTGAACGATTTCAAATGTTTTATTATTATAATATTATATATAGAATAATATTTTAAATATTATAAAAAACACAAACGTGTGTTGTGTGTGTGTGTGTGTCTGTAACGTTTATATGTTGGATCAATTTCCCTACATTTTTTAGCCGATTTCAACAAAACTTCACAGGACTACATAAAATTACCTTGTGGTGGTTCTAACAGGACCGAAAATGGGAAAAAATACAGTTGTTTTTTAATAAAATCAATTTGAAAACACAATTAAGACACATCGTGAGAATGAAAGGGGGAGAACTCACCCACGAAAATGTAAATAAAAGAGCATAGCATGATGAAAAAAACGCCGAACTTGACGAAAACAAAATTTTATCGTCTAATGTTCATATTATTATTAAAGAGGAAAGATCAAAGTATTTTTTGGGGTATTTTTTTTACATTTTTAATCGTTCCTAGCACGTCTGAAATTTTCGTTAAAAATATTTTTTTTTTTGTCAAAAAAAAGGGCAGATAATCATTTTTCAATCATTTTTTCGATTTGATAAAAAATTAAAATCTTACTTTGATATTCTTTTAAAAATCAATTATCATTTTTTTCAAAACTGATTTTAATAAAAACAGATATTATACTGTTTATTTAAAATATTTTGAACCAAGCTTAACTTAGCTTCTGCGCCGAAAAAAATGTAATTTGAAAATAAAACAAAGCAGGTCATAACCTTTCGCGTCGCTTGACGATTGACGAAAGGCACATTCATGACGTTTAGATAACTTACGGGAGGAGAATTCTTTCTACGGATGGAAGGAAGTGAAATTATTTAAGTGAACAAATTATTTACCTTGTTACTTTTAAGGAAAACTTTCAGCGCTCTAATTTTTTTTTTTTTTTTTTGTACTTAGCTTTCATTTTTACGTTTACGATGCTTTATGGAAAATATAAAGAAATTAAAAAATAAGACTGTTAATAGTGAGATTAAATTTCATAAGAAAAAGGTATCTAATTTATTTAGGTACCTTTCTTATGAAATTTTATCAGAAAATGTACATAAAATACTATAATTTTATGTACATTTATTACATTTTACTGTGTTATTTGTATTTCCATTCATTTTATTATTAATTTTGATATTTCATTTATGGAAAAATGTCATAACTGAGATTAATATAAAAATAAGATCATATAAATTAAAGTTTAGCAGTAGTTAAATTTCATAAGATGATACTGTTACTTGGAGGTACCCTTCTCAGTTGAAATTGAAAACTCAAATTAACTTCTCCATACGTGTTTTGCAAAAAGTAAAGGGCTTAACAGCGGAGAACAATGCTGAACTCAAATAATGCAACTAAATTGTATTCTGGTTGGTCTTCCGTACTTGATAATTACTGTCCGACTATAAACACAAAAATTACATTTCTTAATTACCATGGCTAATCTGATTGGTCCAAATTATACAATTTTCAAAAGCTAGACAATGACAATCTCACACGGACATTTTGAAAGGTTGATGTTGCTTTTAACTAATGTTAAAATATTTTTAAAATTCAATTTAAACATTTTTTAAAAATTTTTAAAATTAAAGAAATAAGAAATAATTGTATTAAAAATTCAATTTTCATTGAAAAAAAATTTTTGCTTTCAGAAAATATTGTCCATATTCATAAAAACAAATTAAAACAAATAAAAGCATTTGAAACTAAATAATATATTTGTTTTATTGAGTTTTGTATGTTACAATTCACAGCTGATTTTCAGGTACGTTGGCCAAAAAAAAAAAAAAAAACATGATTTGCATTCTTCAAAGCCTTGTGCTTTTAACTATTGTAATCACTAAAACCGATGGTCTCGAATTTCTAGAGTTTTTCATAAAATTAGTTATGGGGGTGTTAATAAATATAAAAAAATATATTTCTGCCATGACTTTAATAAAAAAAAAAATATTTATAATAATTTCGATCATCTGTGAATAGTTTCTGAAAGTTTCATTAACATCTGACAATTATTTTTATTTTTGCAAGATTTTCCAAATTAATGTGTGTAAATACAAAAAAATGCGCTAAAAATTATCTATGTTATTTACTACCCTTGTTGCGACAAAGAGAAACAAGGTTTTTTAAATCAAAATTTAGAATATTCTAAAAAGATGGAAAAATTTTTTAAAAATAATTAAAAAAATTTAGTCTATCCTCTTCATAAAAAAATAAGCATTTTGACGATAAAATTTTGTTTTCATAAACTTTGGCGTCTTTTTCATCAGACTATGCTCTATGTTTTAGCGATTCCGTGGAGTGACTTAGGTTAAAAAACCCAGGTTGTGTGTGTGTGTGTGTGTGTGTGTGTGTGTGTGTGTGTGTGTGTGTGTTTATATATGGGATCGGATTTCTTAAATTTTTCAGCCGATAAAACAAACATCCACTTTTTTTTTTTTTTGTGGTAGTATTTCTTATTGTCTTGCACACTTTTTTCTTTATTTACATTCAGAATGCTTTAAAAATTCCATTTACAAGACAATTGTTTATAATAAAATTCTATTCACCAATCGATAGACTCATAACGATTGTAAACAATGTTTTTGTTTGAATTTGGGTTTGACCAATTCGTAAAAAAAAAAAAAAAAAAATAATTAAGACATGCATGTCCGTCAACCTTAAACAATAATATTTGTCAATTTAATTTTTCAGTCTTTATGATGGTCGATACTTGATCTATCTCTTACTGTTACATCCCCGGGCAACGCCGGGCTCTACTGCTAGTATATAATAAAATTATATATATGTGTATGTGTGTGTTATCATACATCTTCACAAAATCTACATTACCTGCCATCAATGTATATATACATTTTCAAGACATAGTTATATGTCTTTGCAAAACCTACATTGCCTGCTGTCAGTGCATATATACACATTTTCAACACACCCTAAATTGATAGTCCACTAGTGTTTTTGCTCAAAACTAATGTTTAGTGCTATTTCACAGGTAATACAGACATATAGAAACATACAACTAGTTTTGTGTATCTTTTATTGTAGTTTTTGCTGGGGTGTTATTTAGCTTAGTCTGTACTACAGGGTATCCTATCAAAACCAAAATGGTGGCACCACCAGTATCAATATAGTCATTTATTTCAAATAAAAGGCAATTTTTGATTTTACTATGAAATGTGTCGCCAGTACAGCCAGTCAACAAGGCTATAACAATGAAAGTGTTCCTTATTTATATATTACACAAAAAATTACCTTGAAACTTTTAATGAGTGATATTTAATTTTATTTTTCATCATAAAAAAAACAAATATCAAATGGTCTCAGTGACAAAATTAAATTCTGGTTATGTGAACAGCTTATGACAGAGAGAAAGGAAGTTGGCTGTTTTTAGAAATTCCTCAAGAGAGTGATTTATCAAAGTGTCTGCTATGTTGGAAGCTGCCAGAAAGAAAAACTATTGTCTTAAGTTGTGCACTTCTTATTTAAAAATCAATTTGGCTGGAAATTTTTGTTTTATGATTACTGCCATAATGTCAGCTTTTTACTTATTTCCTCTCTGCGAATTTTGCTTGAAATTCTTGTAATGGATGGCAGAACATAAATTTGGTGAGATTTTCAGGAAAATTGCCTTAAAAGCATTCCTCAGAAATACCTAAGTACATAGTTTTCTTGATTCTATTTAGCAAACTTTCTTAGGCTGAACTCTCAGCCTCTGAATCATACATAAAACAAGATCAACATTCTATGCCACATGGAAGAGTTTTGTTTTTTTCAGTTCAAAAGTATTTTGCATCACAAAATTTGTATAACAAATCTCTTCAAATTTTAGATGATATTTTTTACATATGCTAGGCTATGAGGACCTCCTTAAATAGCCTAGCATATAAATGGGAGCCATTCATAAAGAAAGAGAATGACATCAAAGCTTCAACAGCAACAGTAAGAAAAGAGAAGCGTTGGTGAATGCAGTCAAACATGCCAAGCTATATGAGCAGATTAAGTAAGGCTCCAAATTCTATACTCAGGATTGTCCCACAAGATAATATCCTAGTGGATTAAAGTAATGGTTTGTGAATTTTGTAATATAGTGTGAGTTCAATCTCTGGGCCAGGTAGTGCATATATTATATATATATTATATTAAATTTGATAAATAAAAATTCATTATTATCCAATGTGGAACAGAATGTTGCCAATTTTTAACTGGAGATCATTTTTTTTTTTTTTTAATCTAAGAAATTGACATATTTATTCCTTAGTTCCACCAGTTCTATCCTAATTGTAGCAAACCCACCTACATTCCCTTCGTATTCCATTGGTGAGATGTAAGTTTCACTCAAGAAGCTTCTTCCCAGAAATTACTACTTTGTGGAACTGACTCCCAAGATGATGCTTCCCTGATTACTATAATCACAATGTGTACAAGTCTAAGGGTAACCGTTATCTTCCCCACATATCCGCATAAACTGCACCACTTAAACTCTAACCTTCAAGTATCTCTCAGGCGTTATACAGAGTGAACAGTATTATGAAAAAAAAAAGTTAAAATGATACAGAAAGAACATCTGGCTGTATTAATTAATATAATATTTCCCCAAACATGCCTCATCTTTTCCTTCTGCTTTCACCCCTTCTTTTCTTTCTTTGGGAACACTCATATATAAGACAGTAATATACAAAGGAGAGCACCTGGCTGTATTACTTACGTAGTATTTCCCATAACATTGCTCATGTTAACATTGACGTCAAGGGTTGAAAGATTCACAGCAAATAAAACAAGCGTTTCCCACGCATTGGACATTCCTGATGCCTGGTGACCAGAGTTATTCCGATGCCTACTCAGCTCTGGAGAGAAATACTGGCCAATTCCTAATTTATTCTTGGGAGGCTGTTGTGGTTTCGGTGGTGGTGCCAATGGAACTTCCAAATTCGGTGCATCTGGAGACGGAGGGACAGAACCACTAGGGCCTGAAAGAAAAACCCCACAATCAAAAATCAAATACTTTGTATAGAAGAGAATAACAGTATAAACAAATATTTGCAAAGAAATGTGTTGTTAAAGTTTTTGGTTATTGTTTTGAAACTTAAAAAGAAATACAAAAAATTCAATCTGTGTGTCAATTATATAAAAAAAAAATATTACAAAAAGTTAAAATTATGGAAATTCCAAACTGTGCAAACATATTTTGTTTAAAATGTACATCAGTATCTGTCTGTATTTCTGAGATGAGGTATTATGTACACTATTTACATTATTCAGACTATTGTCCTCATCTTTGTCCTGAAGAAGGCCGGAACATGTAATAAATTTGGCGATAAAGATGAGGACAATAGTCCAAATAATGTAAATAGTGTAAATGTACATCAATATAAAATTTTTACGGAATGTGCATAAATTTGTTAGCTTAAAAATATTCTAAATTATTATACAATTTATTTTCATAGATGAATTATTTTGATGGATAAAACATTCTATTTCAATATCCATATTAGTGATAGAGGTATTTTTAAATTCCTAAAGTTAATTTTAAAACTTTATTCATTCAATTATAAAGTCGTTTTAATTTCTAAAAACAATTAAATGTTTTTTTTTAATTATTTACTTTCATTCTTTTTATTTAATATTAATAAATCTATTATTTTGAATAGCATCTTTATGTAATAATATATAATTCATAAGTTTTTGCAAGGGGAATAAATCATTATGCAAAGTTCTGAGCAAAATTAATTCCTGAACTGAAATTACACTGCTGTCGTAATCAATAAATTACATTTCATCTCTCAGTTGTGCCTCTGTCTTCGGACAGAGCACAGTTCAGTGTATCTTTGTCATCAGACAGAGCACAACTGAAAATCCTGGTCTCCGGAATCAGATGCCCATGGCAATACCTTCCTCAATGTACTAAAGTGGGAGGATAGGTAGTAATAATGATACCAGTGCAACCAACAGTTGCAGGGGCTAGACTAATTTTGGACCTAGTCTGGGTGTATATGCAAGAGCTCACCACATTAAGCTGACCTTGTGTTATATCCTGCCAGTGTGTAGTGGCAAGAAAATACAATTGCTTTTCAGCCTCTTGGCTAAAATCAAATTGTAGTATCTGTTCTTATCAGTTTAATCCTCTTTCTATATTGGAAACATTCACTAACCAAAACAGACAACGGTTAAAAGCATTTAGATAATCTTTTTCTTAAACAGATTTTTTTAGGGAACTGGACTTCAATTTTGAGTTCAAATTCCAGTCGAGTTCATTACATTCACTTATGTGCTAATACCCTTGGGAAAGTATGAATCCAACTCTTCTCTCCCCAGCTATGGGTAAATAGTAAGACAGGCTGTGTTCTATAGCCTTGGGTGGCAATTAATCTAGAATAAAAACTCTGAATTCAAATCTATATGTAGCCCTGACAAAGCACATACTATACAGCTAAGAAAAAGATCGTTCACATTGGATGATTCAGACTGTAATTGACTCCTTTTTTCCACTTATACTGTTCTTTCTTATATTGACTGAAGTTCCCTTCCAAACCTTTTGCTTGTGGTTGTGTAGAAAATCAACATCTTGATTATATCATTATTTTCCTTTCTAGTTACATGTTCAACCCATTTTTAATGTTGCTGCTGTTGGAAGTCTTCAAGTGATGTTCATTGTTATTTGATAAACCCCTTTCTTTGTGATATTGTAGCGGCAGTCTGTAGAGTCAGAAGAATGATTGTCTTTTAGGACTTATTCATCTGAAGCCATTTTTAATCACTGATTTAAGAAAACAAGTTGTATACAATTTAAAGTTGAAACGTTTCTGAATGATGCCTACTTTAAAATCAAGCATTAATTATAGGTTTAAAAAAATGGGTGTGTGTACTATCACTGTATATTATAGACGTCATAGTCACTGAACAGTGAAAAGAACAGAGATTTTATTATCATCGGTTTGGTGATAATACTTTTTTTTGAATTGGTTTGGTTTGTTTTATTAACCTGAATGGGTTATTTAATGTGGACAAGATTTTTTATTGCTGGTAATATATTTTTTTTCAAAAATGTATTGCTGGTAATATTTGTTTTTTTTAAAAAAATGTACTGCTGGTAATATTTTTCCCAAAAAAGTATTGTTAGTATTAAAACCTATTTTTACATTTTCATAGTGTTTTGACCCCTTTGTGGGGGAGAACTATTTGCCTGTAGCTGGGACCGTAACAGATGCTACCACCCCAGGTCAGGGTGGACCTGGGAACACCAGCAACTAAAAGGTGGTTTCACGCTCCTCAAAACCTCCTTGCTGTAGGATGTAGTTCATCGTCTCACCCAGGATGCAGATGTAGTTTATCGTCATACCAAGGACAGACATTTGGTGGGGGGGGGGGATTTTCATCAAGAATCTAAAATAATTAATGCTTGCTTACCAATTACTGCTATAGGAAATTAAAAGGTATTTCATAAAAATACATTTATTTCCTATTAAAAGGTATTTTATAAAAGGGTATGTGTATTATCACCGTACTTCTATACATTTTCCTTCATGTTGCTTTGGCTGGTTGGAGAAAGATAGTTCTGGAACTTATTCCACAGTGGTGACAGAAAGACTGGAGTGGGGACTGGTTATAAAACATGCCCCCTCTCCCAGTAATTCTGTACCTACTTTACTGGTTGTTTAATTAAAGCTCTTCTTCTCTCTATAGTCTTCTCTCATAACCCTCTGACTACTTCCAGTAATAAACAAAATGCCTGATCTCACTTCTTCCCAATCCACCCACACTACCCTCTCGTAACCTATGTTCATACAGTGATAATAACGATTACCTTTAATATCACTATGCAGTGGCCACTTCCTTAAAAAAATCCAGTAATAATTACTGATATACATCTCTTATAATCCATTAATGCCTATCATCTCAAAAATGGGACAGTAGGTATTAATGTATCAAATTACATGAGAAATTAATGCCTCCTAATGGATACGACAGCAGAACTTTACATTATTTCAATTATTGTTATTTTAAACAACAGACTTAAGGACCAAGATTTTTAACTATTCTGTACCTTGTCCCATCTCCATTATCATTAAGCCATGCTTTGAATATTGCTGCCACATATGGTCTGGTGCACCTGCTATATAGTTAGAGATTCTTTAGACACCTCAGCATGGTGTAATGGTTAGCAAGCTTGTCTTGCTAGAACAATTACGACTTAGTAGTGAGTTAAATCCTAACTGGGTGCCCCCTACTTTCAGCCTTGTGCCACATCTAAGCTATGCTTGGAAAATCACTATATTTAGAGATTCTTGATAAAATCCAAAGAAGAATATACATCTCAGAATCAGTCACTTTCCCAACACCATGTTGGGATGAACTCTCAGTCATGATACTTAGACTCTACGAATTTAAGCACAGTACTAGATTGGCAGCAAGGTCTCATAAATTCAGTTGAGTTGGCAAGTTGCAACTGTAAGTTCTATGATAACAATTTTTTTTTCTCGTACTTCTCACATTGGATCTCTCTTTCAGGCTCCATTCTTTCCCACCAACTTTAATCTTCAAAAATTTTAATTCAATATCTTTCATTATTTGCTGCCTTCTTGATTACTCTTCTTCTAATGTTTTCACTCCTTAATAATGTTTCTCTTTTTTTTTTTTTCTTATTCTTTCACATTAAGTAACCCTGTGTGCCTTAATGTCTTTACTGCTTTGTATGAAGTGAAATGATAAAAAAAATTTTAAAAAAGCTATATTCACATTGTTTTGGAAATATAAGATCAGAAATTAATACCAATGGTGTCTGAGGTTGCCTATACAAGAATCAATCCCCAGAGACACTCCCAACTATAATTGGAATAATATATGGCTGTGAAATAAAAACCAAGCTTTGGACACACCTTTTCAAATTTGACTCGTATCCAACTAAAGAAAATATTGAACATTCTCCAAAGCAAATCAAATTTACAAAATTTTTTTCTTTTTAAATAAGGCAAAAGCAAACATTGCCTGGTGGGTGACACATTATTTTCCACCGTATTACCCCTTTTCCACAGACAAAATATCACAAGCCAGTCACTGCTCTATCTCAGTTTCTATGGAAAGTGCTCAGACACACTATATTCCTTTAGTTCCTCCAGTTCTTACACAAATGGCTATGACCTGACATGCCATGCAAATAACTCACATTCTCTTCATATTCCATTGAGGAGATGTAAGTTCTACTCAAGCAACTTCTTCCAACGAACTTTGTACAACCAACTCTCAAGAGGATGCTTCCTCCATCATTACACACTTAATCTGTTTAAGTTTAAGGTTAACCATTATCTTCCCTATATATTCCCATAAACTGTGCCTCTTGCTCTGTAATTCTCTACCTCAAGCGGCTCTTAGGCCTTGTACAGGGTGAACATCATTGCTAAAAAGATAAAGAAACCCTAAGATTGATTACTTTCATTATTCTAAAAAATTTTCAGATGAGTATCTTCATCTTTGTTTTTTTTGTTCAATAACTTTAGATATGTTTTTAGCCTACTCTCAATATTGTATTGTATCTGGTGATTGATTCATTTTTATGGCTTATCAACCCATTGCATGTTATTTAAAGTCAGAAAATATTTTTAAAGTACAAAAATTTGCAGGGGGAGATAATTATTTAGTGATACTAGTCTTACTACTTAACCCATAGCTGGGGTGAAGAAGTGGTTTCATACCTTTCCCAAGACTATTTACATGTAAGTGAATATAAGAAACCCAACTGGAATTTGAACTTGGCTCTCCAATTAACAATTCCAATAAAAATCATTGATGTCTTATTTTATCTTTTTGAGAAAATATATTAAACTATATAATTTCTTGTAACTATAAATATTATTTTTTACTGTGTATGCATATCTGAGTTGACATGCCTGTTATTTTAAACAATGAAATTAATTTCAACAATAAAATGGATGTAATCCAGAAATCTAATCTACAAGAAAACCTCAGAGATTCT